AGCTCCCGAGTATGTTTTGTGTTCTACCAGAACCACTGACTTGGGGGCTTGCCTTATTACTAACAATTTGGGGGCTCATCCAGGATACTGTCTATTGCCACAGGGAAATTAGACCTCTCTCCTGAGGAGGTGCACCCTGTTGCCAAGTTGCGGCGGCCTCGGCGAGGAGTGACAGCCATTACCCCTGGGCCAACTATGAGCTTGGGATCGAGAGTCAGACAGCAATGCAGGAAGGGCCCAAGCAAGACCCGTGGCAATCAGGTAACCTCATGCATGAGCCAAGGTGGGAAATTGGACTGAGTACTACTTTGGTGATTGGGTACCCTCGGAGGTCAGGAATATGTGACTGGAATGTGTCTTGGACATAAAGCGAGTGCAGATTTCTGATCTGTGGTTTTGTTCTCCTGTGAGGGAAGCATCCAGAGAGGGACAAAGCAGATCTCAGGGAGTATGAGAAACCTCCAACATGAGGGGTTGAGTACATAGTCACAAGGGTCCTGCCAAGGATGGGAAACAGAAATTCTAGGCCTAGGGAATACATTCCCCCAAAATAGTCCATTGGTAGAATGCTGAGGTTCTGGGGAGGCAAGTTCCCGAACCAGGGATAGAGACATTGCTCTTAGTGTAAACTTTTAGTGTTGCGCGTGCCTGTATGAGAGTGTATGTTGGTGTTTTATGTCTCGTTTTTTTGTTTAATTTGTTTAAAGATGGGGCAAAACCTGCCTTGGGGGAAGCTCAGTTGTGTGTGGTGGGCCTGAACCCATGACAGAGATTGCAGGAAAGTCCCAGCAGCTGCCAAGAATCCTTATTCTTGGGGATTCATCCTGCTCTCCCTGGCAGGGTGTTGGTCCACCAGAAATTCTTAGCTAGTTAAGATTTCTGTCTTTATGTCTGTAAAGTAGAGACTTTAATTTGCTCTTCCCTGATTTATGATTTTCTGTGCTGGGGTTAAAATTTTAAGATTCTAAGATTAATTTAAAAGTGTAAAATTTGTAAAGGTTGCAATCCAGGGGAGTTTAAAACAAAGGCCAGTCAGTTCCAAGACTGCTTGTGGTTAACAAACCATTATCTTCCCCACCTGAGGCAAAGCGGGAGGGGAAAGGGAAAAAAACCCACAAAGAAGCCAGAGGTTTCCAAGTGGCAGAATGGGAGGCGGTACTTGGGTGCTTGCGGAACTCGGCAGGGCGGAGAAATTTGCAAAGTCCCGCCCAGCATCAATTCCATTAAACATCCAGTTGTCAGCTTTGGTATTAATTCAGATGGGATGGAAAGCGGGTGGCCTGCTTGTGATGTCAGAAACCTGCACAGGCCAGCTGAGGCGGAACTAAGGCTGACCTTGGGGCCATGGCAGCAAGAGAATGGGTGGTTCTTGAATGAAGATGGACCGCATTCCAAGGGTAGTCCTGGAGGCATAAGACTCCCAGCCAGATTAGTGTGTCCTTTCTTTGAACAGAAAGGGCAATCATAGTTAACAGAATCTATACTAATAAAAGGGTAATATGCTAATTAGACTGGGTGACCGGCCATTTTCCGGACGTCTGAGTTCCTTCCAGACAAAGCCACGGTAGTGGGGGCCGAGGCAAAGGCGGTTAGGGGCAATAGGCCAACAGGGCAGGGCAGTTGGAAGCCATCAGGCCAGGAGGGGAGGGCAGTTAGGGGTCATCAGGCTGGCAGAGGAGGGCAGTTGTGGGCCATCAGGAGGGCAGAGGTGGTTAGGGGCGATCAGGCAGGCAGGCAGGTGCATGGTTAGGAGCCAGTGGTCCTGGATTGTGAGAGGGATGTCAGACTGGTGGTTTAGGCCTGATCCCACAGGACAGTCTGACATCCTCCGAGGTTTCCCAGATTGGAGAGGGTGCAGGCTGGGCTGAGGGACATCATCCCCCATGCACAAATTTTGTGCACCGGGCTTCTAGTAATTTAAATAAAATGGTACTTTCACTTGCCATACTTTTTATAATATCAATCCAGATAAATAATTTTATATGAATGTATTTTTGCAATTCTTTTTTTTAAATCCTCACCCGGGGATATATTTTTATTGATTTTAGAGTGAGAGAAACATTGATTGCTGCCTCCTACATTGGCCCTGAGTGGGTTTCAAACCCGCAACCTCGGTATGTGCCCTGACCATTATCAAACCTGAAACCTTTTGGTGCATGGGACCACACTCCAAGCAGCTGAACCATCCGGCCAGGGCCTTTGCAATTCTTGTTTTATATTTTATTTGGAGTATTTTGTCAAGAGACTAAGTAATATCCAGTAATTATATCTTCAGTTATTTCTTTTCAAAAGTAATAACTGTCGTCCTAGCCAGTTTTGCTCAGTGGTTGGAGCATAGTCCCTCGGACTGAAGGGTCCTGGGTTTGATTCCAGTCCAGGGTATGTACTTCTGTTGCAGGCTGGACCCCCGGCCAGGGGTATACAACAGCATGGATTAGTCCTGCCACACATGTTTAGACTGTTATGGAGGCTCAGATGCTTAAAAACCAATAGTATAAGCATTCATCCCAATTCCAGGTATTAAGCACTTATTTTTCAGATTATTGGGATGATACCAAGGAGATGCAGACAAGCCCTGGACTTAGGGCCACAGTTTGGGGACTAGTTCTGGCTCTCAGCTTACTGGTCATGGGGCATTGGATGGAGAAGTCACCTCTTTGAAACTCAGCTTTCCTGTTTATGTGGTGAAGGAAATGCCACTGCTAGTGCTGTCGTGAAACAGGTAGAGACCATGAAAACAGCTAAACGTACAAAACCAGAAGCACAACCTTCTCTCCTTCGTCTATCAGGTTCATTTATTCATTCCTTAGGAAAGCCGGAAGCTTTTGGCCATAGAAAATGGTCCCATAGAACTCATTTTAGCTTGTCACGCGTAAGATAGTCAAGGCTGTTGAGCAGAAATCATCATAAAATTAGGTAACCCTCACTGATCATTTAATGAGACACTTTATATGTAACTGTTTAGCATAACCTTTAAATAACCCTCTGAAGCTAGGTACTGCTGTTCTTACTGCCTTAGATAATAGAATTGGAATTAGAATCAGTGACTTATCCATGGCAATGCATCTGGGAAATGTCAGAGTCTGCCCTTGAACCAAGACTGGCTATAGAACTCAAACTTGACCACAGAGCCATATGCCGTGGCGTTCTCCTGTGACAGTGACAGTGGTAAACAGAGGTGTTTCCGTTTCACTGCAGACGATGGGCCACTGGACCGCTGCCCTGTTTGTTCTCTGTGGCTTCTCCTTCAGTAGCTGGCAGCGCGGTGCAGAGGGCGAGGGAAAGCCAGCTGGGGAGACGCCGGTTCCTGAGCAAGCAGGTCAGTGGCACGGGCCCTCCAGCTCTCCGGGTTTTAATGTTGCTGTAGCTGTAAAATTTCAATAGAAACCGTCTCTTTAATGTGGGGCTCATCTTTTAGAGAGGCAGAAAGGGACTTCGGTGACATTTTTGGTGGTGTTTTTTATTCTTATTTACTTTTCCAGGAAAAGCCTTACAAAAGTAATTTCTTCAATCTCAATAACTTGGTATGCCCATGTTAGATGGAGAAAACAATAAAAAAATCATCTGGATCATAATTTAAATCCCATATGAGCTCAAAGGCAATACAGAGTAATGTGTGATGTTAACAGTGGTTAGGCCTGGATGATGGGGCTGTGGAGAACTTCTTTTTCTACGTTCCAGTGTTTTGCAGACTGTGGGGTATTACTCTGAAATGGGAGAAAGGAAACAACTTTCTTTAATGTAAAAACAATGCCCTTCAAAATCTTACCTGTTCACTCCATGCAGAACTGTATCTATATAGGCCTTCGGTGCTTACACTTTGGGCACTGAACAGTTTATTTTTACACCGAGAGAAGAACCACGACTTCACTTTAAATGCCAAGGACAGTTTTTATTGAGATTTTTAGTCTCCTTTTAAATGGCACATAAAAGGTAGAAGAAGATATTTTATGTTGGGCTTATCGATATGACCCATCTGGACCAACAAACATTTTTCTTCCCATACTGTCCCATAGCTTTTCTTTGCCCATTTAAACAACTTATACATTGTACTAGAAGCCCGGTGCACGAAATTCGTGCGTGGATATGGTCCCTAGGTGCAGCTTGTGATCAGGACCATCTTCCCCAGCTGCTGGCAGCCGGCCCTGCCTCCCACCACCACCCACCTGGGTTCACAGTTTGCCATCAGGCGATTGGAGCCTGTGGGCTTCGGGGAGGGACCAAGAAGTCAGCCATTCCCACCTACTCGCCAGCCCCACCCCCGCTGTGGGTTGCCCTCTGTATGTGAGGCGACAGGCAGGGCAGGGTTCTTGGCTTGGTGCCACCTGCATCCCCTCCCATCCACCCTCAGGTCCCCGTTTGCCACTGGGTGGTGGGAGCCTGCTGGCCGGGGAAAGGGACTAAGAGGTGGTCAGTGCACCTCATAGTGACTGGTCGAGCGGTCATTCTGGTCATTATGGTTGCTGGGATTTTATTATATAGGATGTTTTAAACACATGAGTGCACTACTTTTTAAAAAAATGAAAGTATTACATATGTCCCCTTTTTTTCTTACCCCATTGACCGCCTCCAACAATGCACTGCTTTCAATACTCCTGAGTTAATATTTTAAAGTTTGTATTTCCATCCTAATTTAATTTCTGTTTTGTTTTTGTTGTTTTTCACCTGTTTGGTGTGGGGGGTTTTTGTTTCTTTTTTTAGTTTAGTTTAATTTCTGTATCCGAAGATTCTGGGGCTGCTTTATTGCTCAAGGTAAGGAAATGCGATGCCCGGGGCCCATTCTGGCTTCCTTCTTTTTACTTCCTGCCTCAGCGAATCAGGTTAAATGCTATGGCTTAGATTTCATAGGTTATTGCTTCTGAGCCCACGTTTTTGATATTGGATAGCTTGTATTTTGTTACTGAGAGTATTTATACAAAGAACACATTCTGTTATGTCCCATATCTTCCAGCGCCCCTTATGTAAGAAGTAAATGAGAAAGAATGAGTCTCACAAGGATATTAATTGCCCTGGTTTTATTTTCATTCTGTGGTGGATACACACACCCATTCAAACGACCTTCTCACTCCTGCAGTCCTCAGGAAAAACCCACGTTTTGAAACAGGGCAACAATAATGGGATCTGCATTGAGAACGTTAGGAAATAAAGTTTTCCGTTTATGCCATCCCATAATCTTTGTTAAAAGAGGCTCAGAAAAATAGAGCACATTCAAACTTCATTTGTCCTTATGCTGTGAGACCTCTACGTTTCCAGATGGTCTGTAAAGATAGTTATGTGAAATAAACGTCCATAGTTGAAATACAAACACTATATTGTGCAAACACTGAAACCTGTTTTGCTAAAATACAGTTTCTAACCGTATCAGAACTATGTTTTACAGTTAATGATAGATTCCAAGAAATATAAAGTTTCACCTTCTGATCTTAACATGCCCTGGTACTCCTGCCTTTCTTGTGAAGTGGTTGTAGCGAGATTAGTCAAAATTTCATTCTGTGGCTGGTCTAAGGTTAAATGCATTCTTATTTGGAATTAAAAGGTATATCTCCCCTCCTCCCCCTTTAATATAGAAAGCATCCATTTACTTTGAAAGCCTACGCTTGGGTAAGGTTAATTTGCTTCTTATTCCATGGTTGATCTAGATTTAGACAAATAGTAACTGTTCTGTAGTTTCCTTCACTCTCTACTGAATATGTGGCTGTCTTTCTTTATTAGCAATCTAAGCATAAAAACAATCCTATTTCGGTTTCTGGCCCCTAAACAAATGAATGGGCTTCAAATAAGTAATCTTGAGAAAATAGGGTTACCTTCATTTTAATAACAAAGTTTCCAATGTGCTCTTCGAAAACAGTTGCTAAGGCCTGCTGAAGGTATAACTAGACTTGCTGAAAGAGCAGTTAATAATGCATTTGGGTTAAATGGACAGCTACATACTCTATTGTGTTGAAAATGTCAGAGACACAAGAACTGAATAATAAAAATCCCTTGTATTTTTCTTTTCTTGTCTTTCTTCTTGTTGCTGTGGTTTGTTTGTTGGTTTGTTTGAGAACCTTTGCTCTTGGGAACTTGAGGGCAGCATCTCCTCACTTCCATAGTCTGGTATTCGGGATTCTGGCTTGGAGAGACTAGTGCTTTTCCTCTGTGTCATGGTGTCTTCGTTTGCACGAGATAACAGGGACTGCTTTGTATGCATGTGAGGAAGATAAATATATTTGAACTAATGCATTAGTGAAATAAATTAGTAAAGGTAAAAATGACACAAACTGAAGGCATAGAGTCAGCGTTTTCTGAAATACTCAAAGTGAGAGCAGAGTCACCACGGGTATAAAATTTAGATTGTGAATCGTAATCATAACCCTGGTGACTGGATCTTGGCAGAACAGAGACAGTATTGCATTCTGGGAAATGTCACTGAATAAAAAAAGAAGAGTTAAAAAAATACTTCTGAAGGGATAAGCAAATAAAGAAACAGGAAGAAGCATATGAAAAGATTTCAAAGAAAGACGTCATAGCCTTTTCCTGGGTCCATGTTTCTGACACTCAGATAAGATCTTTCGCGCCTACCCGGTCCTCGGCCACAGTGGTGGGGTGTTTTGGGGAGCCTGTGGGCAGTTCCATCCTGAGGCCAGACCCTCTGGATGAGCCGTGGGCTGCATTTTACCTATGCCGGTCCATACAGCGACTCCAACTTGACAAGCAGTTCTCTTGTAAATAATAAGCAAGCCTCTTCAGAACTAAGAGCATATTGAAACTTCTGTGAACAGCTAAGCTCAATGTTTTCCCATGGAGATGCAATGGTCTGGATGACAAAAACAGCACACTTGGGGAACTGCCCCCAAACCAAAGGGTTGGAAGAAAAGAGAGCAGGAAGTTGAGTGATTGATGTGTGTATACGGCGGCTCTGTGTTCATCAGCTTCCACTAACTTCAATGAAATACCCTCCCCTCTAGTACTTAGGCTCAAAACGCTCTGAGTTTAACAGGTTTTCCTGAGCGATCAATGACACCTCAGATGGTGCCGCTCAAATGGAAAAGGGAAGGATAAGACACTCCCTTAGGGGTCAGCTTTCTGTGATTCCAGCAGGAAGTACTCTGTGATAAAAACACGTCAAGAAATATGTAAACCTGCAAATAGGTACGAGGATAGGGTGTTTAGGCTGTCTCCCTCATTCAGACAGAAGTTCCTGGGTAATTTCAGGAACACGGTTATCAGTTGCTTAGGGCGTGTCCGCCCCCCTCCTCAGGGGGAATGTGAATACTGCCCATTACATTGGCAATGTGTCTGGACACTCTTGTGGTTGATGGAATGGAGAGAGATTTTTCTGTTTCTACAGTGGATGGACCTAGCAAATAAGTCATCCTGCTACTTCCCCCCGAAAACTCGATAATGGATTGAGGGGTGTCCATGATTTTCTATGAAGGAAAATTTAATATTACATTTTAGTCTCTTAAGTGGAGAAAACAAGCACCAAGTTTCTCTGTGAATTTAAAGCAAATTGAGTTCTCCAGCCTTATCCTACCTTTCTAACTAAAGACAAAACTGGCCTGGCTCTAGTGCTGTTTTCCATAACAGAGAACTCTCCTTGCCACTGTTTTATTTAAAACCCAACCCTAAATCACAACCCAGTTTAACTGCTGTCTGTTATCCACATAAAGAATTCTCACAGCCAGCAAAGCAGCTTGAATAAAGGGCTCTCCAGAGAAATAAGCCCAATCCCTTACGGAAGAATTCTTCCCAGCTGTTCTTTCAAAATAAACTTCTAAATCTATTTCAAACTAAGGAGTTCCTAATATTTCCCACATATTATCAACAGCTGCAAATCCAAGCTATTAAAGAGACAAGTGTATTCAAATGTGGTCCTTACCATCTGTCTAAAGCTGGCTGACAAGGGTTACATATTCACAAGCAATGCTTTTGTGTATGGATTCAATAAGAACTCCTTTCCACGAAGGCAAGATGTGGAGAAGTTGATGTCTCAAGGCCTCTGAAGTGGCATCGGAACGTCAGTCAAGCATTAAGAAGTTCATCATCCGAGTGTCCAATGGCGTCTGGGTTTGAAAGCGGATCCATGTCTGCAAATAGGTTGAACCAGGCTGACATGCCTTGGTTACCATGGTTGGGAGCTATTAAAAAAACACACACATGTTAATGAGTCTCGGGTTTTTGAAATCACATTATTGTACCACTTTCATTATTTTAAAGTAGATGCTCCTTTTGAATAAAAAAAAAAATTTAAGGCAACTGATAAGAACAAACTATCAATTACATCTCCTTAAGGATAGTTTTGACAAACTAATGCAGACACCTGTACTTGGCTGAGGCTCTTATGTCTAAGTGATTGCATGCTGCTCTGAGAAAAGGCCTGATTAAAAGTGCAAAGGCAGCAGTAGTCAAGTCTTCTGTGGTAAGTTTGCATGGTGTCAGACGATTGCTAGAATTAGTGGGATGATCACATTGTAAGGTATAAAAATGTCAAATCACTATATTGTACACCTGAAACTAATATTACCAACTATGCTTAAATTAAAAATTTAATTAAAAATTTGCAAAAAAAAAAAAGAATACCTGAATTTAATCACTTGGAGCCCTCGCTAAAATTGAAATAAGAAGCATTCCAGTAAAAACAAAAAACAGTAGAACAGATGGACTATATCCTATTAAAAAACCCACATCCAAACATTTTTGAAAAGCTGTGTAACTGTTTCAGATTAAATAGGTTAGAGACAAGTGACATGGAAAACGAATGCAATCCATAACCCTGGACTTGCTCTACCAGAGAGGGAAGTGCTACAGAGGACATTACTGGGCCAACTCACCAAACTGGAACACAAACATGGCAGATTATAGAAAAGTATTATCTTAATATAAAGTTTCCCAAAGTTTATCATCATACTTTGTTTGTGCAAAACAATATACCTGTTCTTAGGAAACACAGATTGAAGTATTTACGGGTAAATGGTCATTATGTATGAAACTTATCCTCAGTTGGTTCAGAAATAAATAACATAAAGCAAATGGGGTAAAACACTAACAATAGGAGAATCTGAGCAATGGGTATACACATGTTCTTTGTGGTATTTTCATTTATGCAATGTTTCTATATGTTTGAAATTCTCTCCGATTAAAAAGGCTTTAAGAAATCAACATCAGTGCCTAAGATTAAAATGTATCTAAAATTCTACAAGACAGACTGTGTCTGTTTTCTATGTATACCCATAGGTAATTATAATATGGACACGCTCTGCAGACACCAATATGTAAGTCCGCAATACGTTAGCAATTACTATGTACCAGGCCCTATGCTAATGAGCGCCTCATTTGTCAACAGGCATCCTGTAATCAAAGAGCATCTTCTGTCCCCAGTGGTATTATCCACCATCAACGAACCTTCACACCAGAAAGAAAAGATTACAGAACTTAGTTTACCATGGCAAGATCACAAATTTCTATTCAGTTATTTCTACAGTGAGTGGTATTCAGGTCCAGCTTTCATTATAATTTATAAAGTATTATTTTATTAATTTATATTTATAAAATATTTTTCTGGATACATTGTCTAAATTTATCTGAATTCGATTAATTGTTAATATGATAGCAAAGACCATCTTACCTAATAATAGCAAACAGGTAAATTGACCATACCTTCGCTATGCTAACCAGCCAATCAGGAGAGTATGCAAATTAACCTAACAAAGATGGCGGTTAATTTGCATACGTAGGCTCCAAGCAGTGGAGCGAAGCCTGACGGCCCCAGGGCCGGCGAAGCAGTGAAGGCCTGAGCGAAGGCCTGGGTCCTGGGTGCCGGAGGAAAACCGGTGCCAGCAGCCAGGGGAAAGGAAGGCCTATTGCACGAATCTCTTTGTGCAACAGGCCTCTAGTCCTATCTAATAAAGAAGGAATATGCTAATTGACTCTCATGCTGTCACCAAAATAGTGACACCCACAGCTAATAAGGAGAGAATATGCTAATTGACTGCCCCGCCCTCAAAGATGGCAGCACCCACAAGATGGCAGTGCTCAGTTCCCTCAGCCCTGCCAGGGCAGCAGGCACGCAGCAAGGCCAGGCCCACCCTCAGGCGGGCCCGGCCACTCCACTCACCTGCCTCCGGAGTCCCCCAGTCCCCTCAGCACCCCAGCCGCCCAGGGCTGGCCTGAGGCACAAGCAAACCTTGGATGGTGGCTGCCCAGCCGCCCAGGGCCGCCCAAGGTGCAGGCAAGCCTTGGATGGCGGTTGCCCAGCTGCCCAGGGCCGCCGGAAGCTCAGGTAACCAGGGCTGGCCAAGACTTGCGCTGCCAGCAGTGGCAGCAGCAGAGGTGTAATGGGGGTGTCGCCTTCCCCTGATCGCCGGGTCACCTCCCTCTCCTGAGGGCTCCCAGACTGTGAGAGAGGGCAGGCCAGGCTGAGGGACCCCCCCCTCGCACCCCCCCGTGCATGAATTTTCATGCACAATGCCTGTAGTAAATACATAACTTACATTTTGTTGATTTCTTTGGACTCTGTGAAGGCACTGGCTGACTATCAGTGTGTGAGAGAGGAGGTTCGAATCCCCCTCTGGAGGCCCAGCCTGAGGGGAGGGAAGGAAAGAATCATCCATTGCTAATCAAATAGGAAGTAGCATCCGAAAAACAAGAAAAGGTAAAAATATCTAATAAGTCCTCCAGTCTTCATACCAGGGTAAGATTCTACAGTATAAGAGGTATAAAACACTTAGAATTTATCTGCAATTATGTATCTTATTCAAATAATATGTTTAGTCCCAGCTAGATTTAGATTAGTCTGCCTTCCATTTTTCAGAGTGCTTTTGAAATACGGTCACGTGCTACATAAGACACTTTGGCCACTGACAGAGACCCCGTATACCACAGTGGTCCCATAACATTATAATGGAGCTGAAAGGTTCATACTGTCTGCTGCTTGGAGGGAGAACTGGAGGATGCGTGGAGGATGGACGGGGGTTTGGGAGATCTGTGAGGAGGACTGTAGCACAAACCCAGGAAGCCAAATGAGGCTCTAAGGGGCGCTGGTAGCAGAGGCAGAGAGGACCGTGGGAAACTTGAGACATGTTTCAGAAAAAGAACAGACAGGACTTAGCAACCAATAGGAAGTGGGGGCAAAGTGACCCCAAGGTGCTGGGTTGGACACAGGATGGAGGAACTGCGGGAGTAGAAAGAGTTCTCCACATATAAACAAAGCAGGCGACCCTTTCCTCAGGAAAACAGCCCGCCCCCAGCTCTCTGCTGCCACAGAGCCAGCCTCCAGAGCTGGGAACCCACAGACAGCACCTGCCTGCCCTTGGCCGGGGTAGCTTAGCAGGTCAAGAGTCTCAGACAAGACGCTGGTTTTCCATGTGGAGAAGATACCTGGGAACGTCAGAGAAGAAAAGGGGGGGGTTGTGGAGGGGCAGGAAAGCAGCCCCCGTTTCACTCGTGTGCACGGACTCCAGTGGTGGGATATGTGTTACTTTTCCAGCTGACTGGTGTGACTGCAGATTTTACCTCGTAGGACTGAAGTCAACTAAAATCAGCCTTTTTGACTTTAGCATCCACATGCACAGTGGTTTGCTTCACAAAGGTAAATAAGTCATGGGCGTCCAAATGTGGCGGAGACACTCACTGTTGAAGGCTCCAGCAGCATGGAGGCCAAGGTCGAAGAGCTGGGAAGGAAGGAATCGTTGGGAATGAGCAAGGGGCTCGGACCCCACGGGAGGCTCCTGGAACGTGAGGCTCCCAAAGGCGGTCTGGCATTCTTGAGTAAATTCGCTAGAACTTGAAGAAGCAGGACTTAGGAGGTTGTTCAGAAATGAGAATTCCTTCTCAAAATCATCTTCTAGTGAATCTCCAGGTAAATCTTTTGCAACTGCCGAGTGACAACAAAAACAGAATGGCTTTTTTCTTTGTGAAGGAATGACAGTAGGATGTAGGGCAAGCCAAATTTGTTTCATTGCTCTCACATTTTATTAACATAATTTTAATAAACTGATAGGAAGCATATATAAAAATTATTTCTAATTAAATCAAAATGACCACATTTCACAATGAAGATATAACAGTTATGCATATCTACATGTAAAATAATTAACCAACCACCTATGTAAGACAGACTACAGGAGATGCAAGGAGAAATACAGATTAATAATAGGAGACTTTAATATATCACTCAGTAAAAAATAGTCCAAGAGGAGAAAAGATCTGAACAGCGTAATCAATAAAGGTAGTTGTTTTGAATATATATAAACCCTAATAGAAAATATACCTTCTTCTCAAGCACACACTGAAATTCACAAAAATTAATTATACTAAGGTGCAAAAACCAGTGACTTTCATAAAGTAGAAACATTACAAACAACATGCTCTGATTACAATGCAATAAAATAAAATCATTTAATAAATGAAACCAAAAAACTAAAAGGCTCTTCCACCTGTAAATTTTAATACGTTCTATTAACTCTTGGTTCCAAGTGGAATGGAATTTCTGAAAAATAATGATAAAGAAGACATTTTATATTACAGGGTGGGGCAAAAGTAGGTCTATAGTTGTTCATGTGAAAAATAATACAATAATTAATAAATAATAAGAATAAAACTTTGTTTTACATACTCACAACTGTAAACCTACTTTTGCCATACCCTGAATAATCCATGGGATACTTAAATAGCAATTAACAGAGGAAAAATCCTGACCCTAAACATCTTTATTAAGTAAAAAAGAAAAAGAGGGGCTTCCAGCATGATAGTGACGAGGCCTATGGACCTGCACACCAGTTTTTAAATAATTGGTGGAAATTATTTTTAAAATAACTATTTAAAATTCTCTAGAAATTGTTCCAAAAGCACACATCAAATAAAGAAAAATTTATTCAAAAAACCAATTAAAATTCAGAATGAATGAGAGACTGGCTCATGGATCCACACTCAGTCACCGAGCCACGCTGGCTGGGCAGCATATTAACTATTAATTAACAATTAATACTTGACGGTGGCTAAGAGAGTATTTCTTAAATTTTCTTACCCCCAAAATAAATATGGTAACTATGAGAGCTGATAGATGTGTTGCCTAATCTTGTTATGATAATAATTTTGTGACATCTATATAATCATCACAGTATACACCTTAAACTTAGAGTATTACAACTCAAAAAGCTAGAAAAAAATAAAGCTAACTCAAAAGTATTTATACACAAGAGATTTGTAAAGTGACTTAAGGGGAGAGGCTTTCACAGACTGGGTGAATAAGGTGAAGGGATCGAGAAGTACAAATTGGTTAGAAAACAGGCCCGAGGTGTAAAGGACAGCATAGGGAGTAAAGTCAATAATACATAGTGAATAATATCGCGCTACCTACGTATGTGTAGTCGATAATATCTTGCTTTATTTGTCAGTTTTTTTAAAAATGTGACAAACTGTTTTGACATTTAAAATGTGGTCATTTCACATTTTAATGAATTTACCATCTTACCTGATTCACTTCTCAAGTTCACTTCCTCATCTGACAAAACTAACCTAAAGTGAAAACCAAAAAATGTAAAGATTTTGGTTAAAATACATTTGGGACTCATATTCCACAGTTTTACAGTGTGTGTGTGTGTGTGTGTGTGTGTGTGTGTGTGTGTGTGTGTGTGTTGTTTCGTTTTCAATTTTAAACTGGTTGTCCGGTAGATCTCTTAAAATCGGTCTCAGACAAATCCTGTTTCTCTATATCCACACAGACTGTGAACATAACCTTTCACCCCTTATTCATTCCGTAAACATTTACTGAGAATTAACAAAGCGCCGGGCACATGTTCAGCACTGCAGGCACTATGCTAGTGCTATATTATAGGAAACATCTGTCACCAAAGCCATTGAGTATAAAGTTTAGCTTTCAAGCACTGGAGGGTTTTTACTCAACAACAGTTGGCAACTAAAGAGAGGGGACGAAAACCTGTAGAAAAAATGGAGTACTCCAATTTGAACAACAAAGTGATGGTTGCAAAATAACGCATTTGCCTAAAATATTGTCAGTCAATGCTAACTTTGAATGTTTATATCATCTATCTGGTGTAAAAATAAAAAACTGAGACAAAGATGCCCAGCCTGTGTGACGCGGTTGAGCATCGTCCCATGAACCAAGAGGTAACTAACTGGTTTGATTCCTGGTCAGGGCACATACAAGAACCAACCAATGAACGCATGAATAAGTGGGACGACAAATTCATGTTTCTCTCTCTGTGTACCTCTCTCTCTCTCTCTCAAGTCAATTTAAAAAGAAGAAAAGTATGAAACAAAGAAACTGCACACAGATTTAGTCATTATTTCTGGAATATAGCCTGTTTTTAAATAAATTTTTAAGGGTATTTAAAATGCAATACAGTATTTAATTGCAAATACCAAAATAAGCCTACAGAGCAAATACATACTCATGACTTAGAAGGAAATTTCCAGTCTACATACATGGCTTTTTAAGCAACTTGGTTGGGAGAGAAAGTGAGGTGCTTTGAAATCTGTTAACTCAAAAAGGAGGTTCTCATAAGCTGAAGGTACTACATGAGGAGATTTGGAATGAAAATTTCATGAAATGTAATAATAGAAAAAAGTTACTAAGTTAAAATATCTAAATATGTATGATTCAACATATGATTTTTAATGTCAATGCAGAAGTAAAGTTTAATTTATAACTATACATTTGATTATTTAATCTACATCCTAATATGTTTATAAATTCAAGTTAGCCAGAAAATTTGTTTCCCCACAGAGAAAAGAGGGAAATGCTTGTATTACAGATCCCCTTCCACTCAACAGAAAATGGTTAATAATTGTTTGGGCCTTATTTCTGGGTTCCTCATTATACTCAGTGCAATCTGGTTAAAATGAGAAGTGAGGGGCAGCCCTGAAAGGAAAACAAAGAGAAGGTGTAATGGCAGGGAGATGGGCAGCCCAAGGGTGTGCACAGCCCGGCCTCCATGTCCAGGGATCCAGGCCCAGGCCCAGCTGTGGGTTTTGAGGATTTATTTTCTTTTTTTTATTATTTATTTTTTTTCTTTATTGATTGAGGTATTACATATGTGTCCTTATCCTCCCATTGCCCCCCCACACACACACACACACACTCATGCCCTTACCCCCCTGTTGTCTGTGTCCATTGGTTAGGCTTATATGCATGCATACAAGTCCTTTGGTTAATCTCTCCCCCTTACCCCCACCCTCCCCTACCTTCCCTCTGAGGTTTGATGGTCTGACAGATGCTTCCCTGTCTCTGGATCTGTTTTTGTTCATCAGTTTATGTTGTTCATTATAGTCCATAAATGAGTGAGATCATGTGATATTTATCTTTCTCTGACTGGCTTACTTCGCTTAGCATAATGCTCTCCAGTTCCATCCACGCTGTTGCAAATGGTAAGAATTCCTTCTCTCTCTTTTTTTTTTTTTTTTTACCGCAGCATTGAGGATTGATTTTCAATAGCTTCTGTCCTCGGAGCTGCTGGCACCTGTCCCTGCCTTTTGCAAGCTGCCCCTTCTGGGAGTCACTAGGTGGACACTCTTATTCAAGGCGCAGTCTCCTCCTAAACTAGTATTGAATTTGAAGTTATCAGCCCAATCTGTTCGTACTCCTATCTTTGACTTTGCCCACCATGTTAAAAGTGAGAGAAAAAAATAAGGCTTGAAAACAAATTTTTAATGTTCATTGGAAGAATGACGTAGAAATAAGTATTCGGTTAGCCAGAGAAGAAACAACTCCAAGCACACAGGGTGTCCAGGGCTTGCACGATACCATGTGTAACTTTTGACTGCTTACCTGCTGAGGTTTTCAGTGAGTGGACTGTTTTCTACTTGTTCTTTGTGGTCTCCCTCAAGCTTGCTCGAAGTGTCTTGCAGTTGCTAAGGGTAAGAAATTCCACATTAAGTAGGTGAAACGAGTCTGTTCCTCTTGTTGTGCAAAGAAAATGAGAATAAACATTCTAAAGAACAACATAAAATAGAACAGAAAACAAAAACACGAATTCAGAGGTATCAGACTGCAATATGCTATGTCAGAACACGACTTACAAAACCCAGACCAAGCCCCAGGAATATACAGTTGCAAAATGTGAATCCATCACAGATACCATATCTAGCTTGAACAGAGCCACCAACAACATTTTCAAGCTCCACTGAAAATAAGGCAGGAGGGTAAATGCAAAGGCTCTGAACCTTAGCCTACCAGGACGATAACCACAGGGTTGTAAGCCAGCTGCAGAGAGGGTGGACAGGAAGATATGCAAATCTCAAAAGTATTCTAATCATAGGCCGAGGGTACCTTTTATCTGTAGGTGTCACAGAAAGAGCTGGTCTAATGCAGTAGTCTTGTCAGCCGCAATCACACATATATAATGACCCAACTGGCATAAGTTTTCTATCATGAATCACATCTAAGATATGAGTGTGAAAATAAAGCAAGAAATGTGTTCTTTAACCTATAAAACTGTCAGATAGGTACTCTGATCATTTTGTGAACCATTCTCTTAAGTTTTTACTTTCCATAATCTTTTATCTCTTTTGAATTTTATTTTTCTTTTCACATTCTCCCTCTCTTTATTACCTGCTACTATTATGTTGAGCCAACCAGCAATATTCCCAAATTGTTGTTTTTTTATGTTGCTGATACATTTGGAATCAGGGAAGTGCAGAAAAATGACTGGCTGAAGGAGTGTAAAAGATGTTTGCCAATGTCTTGTAAATTTGAAATTAGGCTTAGCAAAACATAATTTCAATGTTATTACCCAAATGAAGTGTAACATATCTAACAAGTGAACATGGAAAGAAATGTACCTTGAGGGCCACAAAGTCATATGGATGTAAGCCAATGTAGGCCCCGTAGATTTGGGACATCGTTCGAGCTGTTTTCTCCCAGAATCCCAGCAGTGTTCTCTGCAGAAGAAGAAAAGGTGGCGCTACAGTGCTGCTTCCTCTCCATGGTTTGTGATTTGTTTCGGTGCCATTTTTCCTCCCTAGTGTAGTAGGTGAATAGTTGCCGGATAATTGGCAGAAACTGAAATCCATGTCCAGGTTTGGGGAACCAGAAAGCAAAGTACATAGTAATTCTGCATAAGAATTGGCTCTCTTTCTGCATGTGTGTGTGTGTGTGTGCTAGCTGAATACAGCGCTGGGATGTACGTTAGAGCCAGCAGACAGTAAGTACAGCCCCGAGCATGAAACTTGGAGGATTAGAACATCTTCGGAGGAATCCAAAAGAAATGATAAAGGCACAAGGACCCCCTATTTGCATTAGGGGTATGTGTACATTCTTATGAGAAATCTTAGAGGAAGGTAATATGTGCCACTAAATTTGGCCTTTCATTTAGGGTTCAAGAAAGACTTGTTCCAAAAATGTGTCCCCAAAGGCAACACCAGCAATAGACCAATTTCCTTGCTGCTTTAAGGTTCCTGTTCAGAGTGAGGGGGGTGAATGGAGAGAATAAAGGAGAACTGAACTAGCAGCTACTGTGTTTCAGGCATTATGCTACACACTGTCAAACACTTTTATTTTCCAGTGCATCCTTTTTTTGGTTCTTGAATCCCACAGTGCTGAAGTGAATTAGGTAGAGTCCCTAGAAGCAGCAGTGAATGTCCATTTCCTTTCGTGTATTATTCTTTTTTATGTAAATGCAGTTTGTGCTCTTATTTTGCCATTTACAAATACATGTTAAAATCAGTAACTGCTACTTACTAATATCTGTCTTATTCACTGTATGCTATTTGTGTGTGATTTGGGTTAGTCATATAAGCACAAGCGAGACTTTTGAGGTTACAGTGAGGTGGATGGCAACCCTGGCAGGGTAAAAAGTACACACAACCTAGAATTAGAGAACATAGGTTTTTAAGCCCAAAATTCCCATTCCCTTTCATTCTCATGGGTTGCACTTTCCTCGTCCATACAATGACAGAAAATATAAAAAATTGGGGGGCCACAGCATCTTTGCTTCCAATGAAATTATATGTAGAAGTTCAGAGTGGAGGAGCTGAAAGCCTGCCTTCTCAGTGTTCCACCACCCCGCCCCCCTCGCCGCCCCCCCCCCCCCCCCCCGCCCCCTTGCCCAGGGACCGGTTCCAGGTCTCTCTTTCTCTCCTAGGACTCCGAAGAGAATCATGTGCAGCTACTGAGTAGGCGATCCCTAACCAAGGTCTTTTTCGGTCCGGGATTCTATGATTTTCTGACTGCCACAACCTCCACGAGTCAATTTTAGCAAATCAAAGGAATCTGATAATTATGTATTCCGTTACATCCTTTGGACAATTTTAAAAAGGAATCTTACCACTCATCTTTACTGCAAGGGCATGCTGGCCATGGGGTGGGTACCTGGTAGGTAGCGAGTGAGTGGGAGAGCATGTTGCAGCGACTGGCTCCAAGGAGATCCACTTTCTGACAGACATCCATCTTCAACTTGTCAAAAGAAGCTTTGCTGCTTCTCACTTGGATCTGGACCTGGAACCACAAAAAATGTTCACTATGATCACTGATAATGCAGATTATAAATGTTCCATAAAGTTTCATAATACATATTTTCAGACACATGAAATTATAATAAAGAAAATGAATTCATTTTCCCCATATTATTATTTCATGATTAGTGGTCAAGGTTTTGGCTATTTTTAGTAATTATATGAGATTCTTTCCAGACATCTTTATGCTGAGAAAGTATGCAATGATAGATGGAAAGTATATAGTTAAGAAGAAAAAACAGATTCCAAATAAAAAGTAACATCTAAAATTAATGATGGGTAATATTCAGGTAAGAGTAGAAGAATAAATGGAAAGGGGACATAAAGTATTGAGAAGCATTAATAGTAGTGCTAAGTCATGAAGATATATTTATACATTTAAATACATTCCTATTCTATTTTTATACAGAAGTTGAGTCATATGTCACCAAGTAGTGTGAATACTCAACTTTTAAATATACGCACTCATTCAACAAATATGTATAAGGCAGCTATTATGTGCCATGCTTTGTGCTGGCACTGGGATATTGTGGTGAACAAAACAGAGTTCATCCTCACCATCCCTGAGTGTGAAGCACAGGAAAAAAAGAATAAATAGTGACGATAATCTCAAACTGTGAAGATAACAGATAAATGCACAGAAATGGTGACTACTTTTTAAAAATATTTTTTTTTCATTGATTTCAGAGAGGAAGGGGGGGAGAGAGAGAGAGAGAGAGAGAGAGAGAGAGAGAGAGAGAGAGAGAATATCATTTATTGGCTGTCTCCTGCACGCCCCCCACTGGGGATCAAGCCTGCAACCTGGGCATGTGCCCTTGACTGGAATCAAACCCGGGATCCTTCAGTCCACAGGCTGATGATCTATCCACTGAGCCACACCAGCCAGGGCTGGGTGACTACTTTTGATAAGATAAACAGGGAAGCCCTTGGTGGGCTTGTGCATGATGTTTGAACTGGGACACAAAGGTGGTGAGCAGGCCATGCCAAGACCCGGAGGAGGGCATTCCAGGCCCAGGGACAAGAGTCCTGGGCGTGAGAGGTAGGTGAGGACCTCATGTTTGCCGAACAGGAAGGAACAGAGTAGAACATACTCCTTGCTGGAGCATAAAAAGTAAGTTCAAGATGTGGCTGCAGAGGGCCCAAGGATCAGACTGTGCAGGATATTGGGGTCCAGATAAGAGGTTTGGATTGTATTCTTTTGTTTGTTTATTTATTTAAATTGAGGTGAAAGTCACATAACATAACACCTAACCATTTAAAAATTTACAGTTAACTGACATTAATGCATTCACAATGTTGTGCAACCCCTGCCTTGGACTGTATTCTAATTGTCGAGTATTATAAAGGAAGCAGAATTACAGGTTGCCGTGGCCTGAGGCCATGTGTCCACCTACTTCCCAGATCTGTTGGGAGTAATCAGTGAGGCAAACTACTTGTAACTGTTGGTCTAGAATCAAGGCTTCAGCAACAGTGAATATGATTTTTACTATAGGTACTCCAAATATTTATGAAATGAAAGAGTGAATGAATTTTATTGTGTACGGTAAATTTAGGCAATGCAATTTATAATAAGGAGTGTATTCAGAAAAACATATGTCTATACATAGGTAGTTGCTTTAAAAGTTTGTGGTCAAACTTCGTATTGTGGCAGAATGAAAAATGTGATCACTTTTTTTATAATCCATAATCATTTTACCTGAATTTTTACATATATATTTTTCCTCATTAATAAACTATTTCCCTCCTGCAAAAAAAAAAAAAAAAAAGCCCCAAAGTCCAGGTAAGCAATGTTTAAAGGGTGGTTAGATGTATTATGAGGGAGATAAAGAAATTAATAGACAAGGTCCACGGGTGGGGGATGCCACTCAAAAGGTAAAACAAAAAGTGTGGCAACCTTCTGTACTTCGACTGAAGCTCTCCAAGCAACCAGGAATTTATAACATACCATTTTGTCAAAAGTAGTCTGATCTTATGAAGTGATTCAGTAGAAGTTAAACAGGATTGTGTACCAGGAAAAGAAGGGTGTGTTTTCATACTTTTCTGAACTTTTCCATTTGCTTTAAGGTGTCTGGGTCCAGCTCCTGGGACACGTCCTTCATCCACAGCAGAGCCCCTCTGTACTCCGTGCGTGCCTGCTCCATGCGATTAATTGTCGTCAAGGTATCGGATACTGCCCTTTGACTGAACGTTGCTACTTCTTGCTTAAGACGAGACAGCGGAGTACACAGGGCCAATCTAATGGCAAAGGGGTAAAAATCAGAGGGTTGTGCACGCCATAAGCCAAACAAAGCAAAAACAAAGGTTTATAACAGCCATAAAGCGTAGTTGCTGTCAAGATGAGTCTGTACATACTAAATTATTAAGATGCCTAAAGGGCTTTAGAAAGCAAATAAGGATCACATAGTCAACTTGGAATTGTTAATAACGATGTGTCCATATCTTTCTCTTTTCTTATTTTAGAAAACATATCATTTTTGCAACATGTTGGATGTTAATCCACATAGAAATAACTTCTCAGGTACATTTGCCATTTCTAAAAGAGTTCATGGGTAAAAGAGACCCTGTATTTATAAAGAACTATCTCTTAAACAAAACCTTTTAATTGACAAATTTAGAGAAAACCTGGGTGTGGAAAAGCAGATAAATACTAGAAGAACTAATGAGGATCGGGTTCTTAGCAGCTGAGGGTGAGGACGAAGAAACAAGGACTTAAGAAGCATCAGTGCAACCCGGCCCTCTGGTCTGCTTTTGACATTAGCTAAAGCGTCGCACTGTACTGAGTGTCTCTTTGTCACATCCTTAAGGATGAACTTGGGCACTGATGTGGTATTTCAGAATAAAACCACTTCAGTTACATATGGTCATTGCAGGTCTGAGAAGGCCTGATTTTATTTTCTTTGGAAAGTGCAAAGATTTTGGCTGTCTTTAGTAATTGTTGGAGATTCTTTGCAGCACCTATTTTTAAGATTAAAAAAAAACCTGCAAGATGATAAATGCAAAGTATATAATTAAGAAGAAAAAATTTCCTCTGCTTAAAAAGTTTGTATGTATTCATAGACAGTATAGTACCTAAAAAAGTGAAAAATATATACCTATATCTATTTAAATTTTAGCTATGCAATGCCTCTGTTACATTAAACCCCTTAAGAAGTTTAAATACAGGCCTAAAGTCAATTTCTAGGAATTAAACAACTGAGAATGTCAATTTTTAAATAATTATTTAAAATACAAAATAAATAAGAGTTAGGTCTCAAAACAATTACATACTGCAATATATTTCTCTTTTAACCCTCGATTGGAATGATCAGTAACCTTTTCAACATGCACATTTAGGCACATACATCAAACTGTCACAGTGACTACAGATTTAAGGATGATGCAAAACCAGGTAACCTTTGCTTGGCTGAGGAACAGAGTGCCTTGCCCGTGGCATCCATCAGTTTGCCAGCTTGCGTTGCATCTCGTTCTGCTTGAAACTTTAAAAAGAGCCCTAGTTCACTTTCTTCCTCTGATACAACTAGGAAAAAAAAATTACAGTATAGTTCATTGTTTCATTTTTATCATCTGTTTAAAACACACACATCACTAAAATTCTCACAGAACTAATGATTTATGCATAAGAATTACTTGGGAGAAGAAGACATTTTTAAGATGCAATTCCTGGGCTCCATTTCCAGAGATTCTGTTTTTTGTGTTTTTTTGGTTTTTTGGCTTTTTTTAAGAGACAGAGAGGAAGGGAGGAGAAGGGAGAGGGAGAGAGAAAATCAATAGGCTGCCTCCTGTATGTGCCCCGATTGGGGATCAAACGTGCAACTTGGGTATGAGGCTCAACCAGGAATCGAACCGGCAACCTTTTGGTGCACGGGACAACGCTCAATCAACTGAGCCCACCGGCCAGGGCCAGATGGTTTTGATGCAGTGACTCCATGGAATTTGTTTTGGGAAAGTTTGGTCTTTAGTAAAACATAAATATTAAAATGACAAAATAAAACCACAAATGATGCATTTTCAAATGTGCAGATATGCATTTTAGGATTTGACCATTTTTTATTACGACAAGAGCAACTTGGTGGAGGGGTGGGGATGCAGACTTAACTGGAGTGAGTACAGAGAAAGTGGAAGGACAGGAATTAAGACTGTGCATACAGACAGTAAGTCCAAATTTTCTGTTAAGGAGCAGAGGAATGGCATGGTAACTGCACAGGCAACTGGTGGGGGGTGTCAAGAGAGAGAGTTTTTAAGTGATGGGAGCAAATCCACTTAAGACTCTGAGCAGGAAAACCGAGCTCAGCAAAATGAATCTGAGTCGGAGAACTCTGGGACTTTGAGAACAGGTCCCCGTAAATATTTCTATGTCATCATAAGAAACTGTTCCTAAAAACAGCTCAAGAAACTATTTTCACATTAAACATTTCATTCAAATAAGGGTTTCTATTACATTGGGATTACAGGATATACGTCTATGATTCCATACCATTGAGTCTTAGCTGGTACTTCTCAACTATCTTCAGAAGTTCAGTGCATGTCTCTTGAATGGAGTGGAAAACCTTGGAGACATACGTTTTGTTAGGACAGTTTAGAGAACCACAAACAAACACAAAATAGCTGTTATAAGCACTTCAAAAGCGGAACATTTTCTTGTACGTATTGTGTCTATTTTCCTGGACTGGGATGCACTTCAGTTGGGGGTTTGTTTCTGATGTAGAAAGCACATTGAGATTCCCCTCATGATGTTTGGGGAAGAAATGGAGATCAATACATGGGAGCGAATAGAAGTTTCAAACTGAGGGGAGTTTGTCCTCCCCTCAGCTCCAAAATGGCAAAGCCAATGAAAACCGCATCCAGCACTGCCAACCACAGATCAGAGAGTACAGATAACCTCAGAAAACGTTAGCTCGGACTCTGGCTCTTCTCCAACATTGGTCTAAGCAAGAGAGGTCAGTGAATTTACCATACAAATTAATGATGTATTATAACATTGAAAATAAATTACCTGTAAATTATTTTTGTTTAGAGTTTTCCACGTAATCCCTTTATTACTACTGTGGCCAACAGCTCACAGAAAAGTTTACCTCCAGTTTAGCATCCAGTTCTGCGTCCGATGCCACCACGTGCTCATCCTCCTTCTTCCCGGTGGCTTTGATGAGGACCTGTTTCGTTTTCCAGTATTTCTTTTGCATCCTGCTGACTACTGACTGGTTATCTTCCGCTCTAGGTTGTCCAAAGGAATCCATGGAGTGACCACAAGGAACAAACTAAAAAAGTACAGGTATTTATTTATTTAATTTATCTTTACTGCTGAAAGTATTACCAGTGTCCCTCATTCCCCCCCGCCGCCCCGTGACACCCTCCACCCCGCTCCTGCCCTAAAATTAAAGGTATTTAAAAAATATTTTCAATAATAAATACTTGTTAGCCAACTGTTAATCTAATTAAAAAACTAAAAAAAAGATGCTAAGTAGAATATTAATGTTAACAGCTAAACATGCTAATGTTGGCTTTGTATGAGCTAAATAATTATAACTTGCACAAGGAACAGGCAAAAAGATTAATGATACGTAATTCCAGTTAGGTGACAAAAGTAATAAAACTGTTATGATTTTGCAGTAATGGCTGGAAATAGTTCTATTTTATCTGACCAATTTTCTATTTGTTGACATTTATCAGTTTCTAATATTTGTAATAATACTGCAAAATGAATTTGTACACACATCTTTGCATATCACTATCATTTCCTTAGGAAAACACCCTTTAGTTATAACTATGTCAGAAGAATACACATTTTGTTTAAAAAATTTTTTTATTGATTTCAGATAGGAAGGGGAAGGGATAGAGAGAGAGAAACGTCAATGATGAGAGAGAATCATCCATGAGCTGCCTCCTGCACACCCCTATTGGGTATTGAGCCCTGACTGGGAATTGAACTGTGACCCCCTGCTCCATAGGTAGATGCTCAACCCCTGAGCTACATCAGCCAGGCAGAGAATATATATTTAATAAATATTCTCAGATATGCAAAGATTCAAATACATACTCTTCTTTAAAAATCACTCAAAGAGCCCTAACCTGTTTTGCTCAGTGGTTAGACAGTGTCAACCCACGGACTGAAGGGTCATGGGTTTGATTATGGTCTCTCTCTCTCTCTCCCTCCTCCCCTCCACTCTCACTAAAATAAATAAATAAATAAATAAATTATATATATATATATCAGTGGGAAAAAATATCCTCTGGTAAGGATTAACAAACAAATAAAAAATCACTCAAAGAAATACTTTAGTATCCAAAAATAAAGATCTTAGGTACAAGGGACATCTCTTATAACAAGAGATAGAGATGGAAATTGTAACCTGTAAAATTAAAAATTAATGTTGAAGTGATTGTTCTGAACATGGTTAACATGACTATATAAGGAAAGGCACATGTGAAAAAGTGTTCCTTAAGGAGAAGTAAGTAAAGAAATAATAATAGTTTTTAAAGCCCAAATTATTCTGATAAATGGTGGGCAGTAGGACAAAGGGAGGTACTAAAGGATGTGACTCATTATTTCCAAGGGAATCAATTGATACTAATGTATTCTTAACGTTGGTAAGGAAATAGAGGTTCACTTTCTTTTTTAAAAAAGTAATTACTAATTAAATAAAAATAGGATTCATTTATAAATTACTCATTTATAAATTACTTGGGGGCAAAACAAGAAAAACTAGCAAAAGCAGGGTGGGAAAAACAGGAATAAGACAACATAAAAACAGTACAAACTAAGATGACAAAATAAGAACAATTACACTATTTAGTATGATAAATGCAAGCTTCCTCTTAAAGTCGAAGAACCTTAAATCCTAGAAAACAAAATACTATATCCGACTGTATGCTATTTGGGATCCACCTCAAACAGCAAACAGTATTATGGTGGTGTAATGCATTAGGCAGCATTAGACAGAGCAAGCAGCATTGGACTGTTTTGACTCATGGTCTTGAGGGGAAACTTGCAGTTCCTCTTTCCCCTCCAATTTCTCTCGCTTTTGGTTGCCTTTGACTTGCTCTAGATTAGTTCCCCCACCCAAGGTCGTTATTAGCCGGAGGGTCAGTCCAATTGCTTGACAAACTACTGATCGCTTCCTCAGTGGACCGCAGGCTTAGGCCCAATCAACGAAGAGAACAAAATCTAGGGAGGATCAGAAGAGAACATCTCTTCCCTCCCTCGACTTCCTGCGGACGGAGCTCAGGCAGTACTCTCCTGGCCTCTTTCCACTCCCTATCTCCTTGGTGGAAAGAACGAGTCACTTATCTGACTGGATTTGAGAGCAATAAACTTCGTCTTCCTTTTCCTCTCTGGAAGCTATCCTGCCTGCAGAGCCCAGGCAGTGCCTCCCTGCAAGGGGAGGACGTTAGCTGGGTGGGTAAACCTGCAAACAGTGACATTTGCATATTTGTGTTTTTGTGACCGAGGGCAATGCTATATATGCTTGCCACTGGGGATAGGTTGAGCAGAAAACCAAACCTTGCTGGTTTGATATATCAGATGGATAGAGGTTGTGGTTTTGACCTTGGTCAGGGCACACACAAGAATCAACCAATGAATGCATAAGTAAGTGGCACAACAAAGCGATTATCTCTCTTCTCTTCTCTTCTCTTCTCTTCTCTTCTCTTCTCTTCTCTTCTCTTCTCTTCTCTTCTCTTCTCTTCTCTTCTCTTCTCTTCGTTTTCTCTCTCTCTCTCTCTCTCTCTCTCTCTCTCTCTCTCTCTCTCTCTCCCCCCTCTCTCTCAAAAAAAAAGAGTCTGGGATCAAACTGTCCCTCCTTTAAAATAAGCTTTATTTTCCCCTTTAAGTATTTTAGAGAGCTACTGTCCCCTCAAATATTTTCAGCCATAATTTCTTCTTTTTATCTGAGTCTATTAGGTATTATTCTTTATATGTCTTAATGGCTCATTTTATATGTGTCTCTGTGCTATATTTTTCAATAGATTCCTCAGTACAATCTTCCAATTTATGAATTCTCTTTTCAACTCTGCTCAGTCTAGAGTTGATCCCAGCTTTTGAGTTGTTGTTTTTTTTTTAAATTCAGTGACTTTCTTTAAAAAAAAAAAAAATCTAAGATATCTAAGTGATTCTTCTTCATATTCTCCTAATTTCTTATCCTTTTAAATGGCCTTTATTCCATAATTTTTCTCTTTGTACCCTAAATGTATAGAATTTTTAGACTTTCCATAAAATTATTTTCATTTGGAATGAATTATTGTTTCAAATTTTGATTTTGTTGGCTAAATTTTGCAGGCTCATTATGAGTACAAATTAATGTTTTTCCTTTTTCTTCTCTGTGGTTAATCCTCCTTCTCTAGTGGTTATGGAGTCTTCCCTACTTCACCTTCGGGGGGTTCCACAGTGCATTACACTGATATGTTGGGGGCCCTGGAACAGCGATATCTGAACTACTGCTTCTGTAATCAGCGAGTTGAAGGAATGTGGCCTGGGGAACATCTCATTTCCACTAGCCTGCAGGGACTGAACACCCAGGTGCCAGGGCCCACTCTTCCAGTGAGAGCTCAGCCCTCCCGCTGTAGCACCGCTCACCACTTTGTCTTTCTGTTTTGTTTCTGGTGCGTGTTTATCTTATTATCTAGCCAAGGCACATATTTTGGGGGTTTTTTTTTGAATGACTATTATGAGTTTGGAGCAAACCTTACAATGTCATCTAAATAGAAATCTTTATTTCTAAAAAGAGTACTGTTTGTTTTTTTTACTTGAACGCAGTCATCACATAGAAGACTTTCATTTTTGTCCTTTACAATAGTTAAATTTTTAGTTATCTTCTGTCTTTAGAGTACAAATCTTTTTTTGTTTGTTGGTTTGTTTTTGTTAATCCTCACCCGAGGATATTTTTCCATTGATTTTTAGGGAGAGTGGAAGAGAGAGGGAAAGACAGAGAGAAACATCCATGTGAGAGAAACACATTGATCGGTTGCCTCCTGCATGTGCCCTGACCAAGGCCCAGGCCCGGGAGGAGCCTGCAACCAAGGCACGTGCCCTTGACCAGAATCAAACCCGGGACCCTTTGATCCTCAGGCAATGCTCTATCCATTGAGCCAAACCGGCTAGGGCTAGAGTACAAATCGTAAAACAAATCAATATTCACTTTAGCAGCAGTTCTGTACTCACTTTACTTATAATATCCCATGACTGTGACAACACTGAAAAGCAAGCAAAACAGACTGATGGTAATGTGCAAACTGAAGCACCAAAATCCCCTTGAAAAAGATAATTTGTGAAGACTTTTGACTAAATATAACATTACTGTTGAATGCAATTAGGAAAATATACTAAGTCAGGTTTGCTGTTTAATGTTAATGCAGTATTCCTGATTACTCTGGCTCCCAAGCCATGAATTTTCTCATAAACACAATCAGCATTTCCTCAGAATCAGAGTTTGTTAATGATTCAACTTTGGGGTGGGGGTGGAGGGGAATTGTGGTATAACAATTATAATTGTTAAAAATGTTTACTTGAGCCCTAACCGGTTTGGCTCAGTGGATAGAGCATCGGCCTGCGGACTCAAGGTTCCCAGGTTCGATTCCAGTCAAGGGCATGTACCTTGGTTGCGGGCACATCCCCAGTGGGGAGTGTGCAGGAGGCAGCTGATCGATGTTTCTAACTCTCTATCCCTCTCCCTTCCTCTCTGTAAAAAATCAATAAAATATATTTAAAAAAATGTTTACTTGATTGTCAGGACAGTTATATCTTTTTTATTTTGTCTTTTAATATTTTATTTATTATTGCTATGCAATGCTAGCAAGCCTTTATTCAAAGATGAGAGTCACTCATTCATTCATTTATTGTTAAATATATATTAAGTAGCTACACTTTTTTATTGTTTGATTGCTTAAAGTATAGTAGCTATACTTTTATGTAGCAACTTTACTTATCTGAAAATTGACTAGAATTAGTAAGTTCATAAAAAGTCTGAGACATTAAAATAGTTATTACACAGACTATGTATTAAATCACATATATGTTACTTATAAGAAAGCTCCTATTCTCCTCTCCTGCCAACAATATCACACCTAATTAATAACAGAAATAGGGTTAGAATTCAGGCGTGCTGGCTATCATGAGTGAAATATTGAAGAAAAGCAGAGATTTTAATAGCATGAGGCAAGGAAATGTCATTCCAAATATTGGCTAAAGAAGAGAAGGTAGATTGATGATAGATTGTAGAGATTTCTAAACTCTAACAGATAATAAAGGTTTTGGAGCCAATAAAGGTTTTATTTTATATGTTTTTATTTATTTCAAAGAGAGGAAGGGAGAGGGAAAGAGAGAGATAGAGATAGAAACATTGTTGAGACACATCTATCAGTTGCCCCCTGCACACCCCTTATTAGGGATCCAATCCTTGACCTGGTGCATGGCATGACGTTCAACCAACTGATTCATAGGGGTTGGGCCCAATGAAGGTTTGTGAGTAGCAGAAAGACTAAACAGAAAGTTCAGAGCAATCTTCCCATATTCTAGACATGATCTAGTAAGAGACTGGGACCAAGCCTGGCCCAGGCCCTGGGGTTGGAGGCTCAATCCCCAGTGGGCGGCCTTCAGGAGACAGCCAATCAATAATTCTCTCTCTTCATTGATGTTTCTCTCCCTCTCCCTCTCCCTTCCTCTCTGAAATCAATAAAAATATATTTAAAAAAACAAAACAAAATAAAAGTCTGTCACACCTCATCTGTTGTTAGAGAATATTAATTTTATTGTTTTATAATAAATATTTGTAGTAAAAATGTGGCTTCCTAGTTTTCCCACCAGGCTGTTTGCAGTTTTTGAACTTTGGACTGGCTGATCTGTAAGCCCTCATCTATCTCTAAAATTATAATGATTTGTCCAACAACTATAATTAGTTGTAATTAAAACAGTCTTCCACATAACTGTTTCAATGGCTAGATGTACAGTAATTTCGCACTATTAAACAGATAAAGGCATTTCAAAGAATACTCGGTATGTTAGGCACAACCATTATCAAACGATTAAAAATGTATCACATAACAATATGTACATACCGTTAGATGATTATTTTGCCCACAAATGTATAATTAAGTCCTACTAAAGGATGAGGCACCGGTGGCTACCATAAATATTCATGTGAAGATGATTAGAGTAATATCATCTTACAGTACGTTGCCTAACTCAGAACTAAATCAATCAATACATAAATATTTAGAGAAAACCAAAAACCACGGGTAAACGTTTTCTTCCCAAGAAGCGCTTTCACAGTGACCTACAGTTCAGAATAGCTTTTTTGCTCTGTGCCTCAAGATCATCTATTTAGATAATCCCACCCCCTCTACTGGCAACGCGGCATTCGCAGGGTCGGTTGCCAGGATGGGTTTTTTTCTCTCCACCTTTCTCAGGGCATCAGGTATCTGACCAATGACATCATTTGGGCACCTGACCAGATAGATGATCGGTGTTTCCACAAGCAGGATCCCCGCGTGTGGCTGGGTTCAAGGCCTTGGGTGTAAGATTTGTGCGCGGACCCCCATCCCCCACCCCTATCCCCACCCCCGCTCGTGCATTCGGCTGTTCGCCGTAAACCGCTCATTCACTGTTTTGTTTGTACCCATCGCTTGCCACTTAGTTTCTGAAGACATATCCGAATAATGACTTAAAAATGAGCACAGCAGAAGGAGGTCAGCAGGCCAGCACCTACAGGCTGAGCATTTGCCTCTAATGGAAGGATCATCCCCTTGGAGAGAAATCACCCAAACCAGCCTCAGGCCCCGCGCGCCCTCGCGCGGGTGGATGCGCCGTTGGTCCCGAGAGGACCCAGCGCCGCCAAACCCACTCCCTGCGAGTTCTGCCCAGAGGAGATCGGACCAGGAGGGAGGGCCCAGGGGCCGCGGACCCCGAGGGAACAGCCGAGGCCAGCGAGGCCGGAAAGATCGCGTGCGCGCAGGGCGGGCGCCTCCCGCGGCGTCTGCACCTGGGGGCGTCGCCATGGAAACCAAGGATTTAGAGGCTGGGCCCGGGTGGTCCAAGCAGGGCGCGGCCGGTGCCGCCGGGGGCGAAGCGGCCAGGGTAGGCGCACTCACCGCCACGCCGGAGTCTGCTCGTCGCGCACGGCCGCGCGGAGGTCCGTCCCCACGGCTCCCGTTCCCGCAGCCGCCGCCCGCGAACCCCGCGACGACGCCCGGTCGCTCCCGCAGGCCGTGGCCCGTCCCCCCCCCCCCCAACTCCCCTCCCCCGCCCGCCCCTCCGCACCGCTGCGCGGAGGTGTCGGGCTTCGGTTGCGGGAGGCGGGAGATTTAAACCCGGCAGCCCGGCGCCCCCGCGGGTGCCCGCGTTCGCTCCCCTCTCGCTCCCGCCTAACCCGACGGCCCCACCTCGGGCTCTGTCGGTTCTCGGATAAACCCAGGACCCTCTCCGGCCTCTTTACCGAACCGGGTGAAATGACAAGTCAGAAGCCGGCAGAACTGAGTGTGAGACCTCGGAGCGGGTAAGTGGACAGCGCTCTCGGCTTCCTCTTCCGAGCCCGTAACGCGGGTCCCCCAGCCCCCTCCCCGTCTCCCTAGGGCCCCCCTGCACCTGCCGGACACTCCGCCCCCCCCCGCCCCCCTCCCCACAGCGAGACCATGCGCTGAGCCCTGCTCATTCCTGAGTCTTGGGGGCTCATTCCTGAGTCCTAGGAGCTTTCGGTACCCGCGCCAGCACGTGGGAAATGTTCACGTGCTGTATCGGTATTTAACTCTAAAGATTTAAAGGGGATTAAGTTAACAACCGTTAATAACTGATCTCGAATGCACATAATTTGTTGTCATAAATGTCTTCATGAGCAAAAAGTAAAATTTGAGCCTAAAAGCCTCAAGGAGGAAAATGGAAATAAGGCAAAAGAATTACGTTACTGATGGAAAATAATTTAAATTCAAAGTGACTCAAAAAATTATCAGCTGTCCTAATGTCACAAAATATGAATTATTTACAACTACGACGACGTATAGGGTAGTAAGTGGAAAAAGCTTAGGGTTGAAGTGATGTCTATAATATCATGAGAGGTAAGATGGGGTGATATTGTAGAATGTTATTACAGAGTACTTACCTTAAAAACCTGAAAAAAAAGTAGTTTTAGAACAGAAAAAAGCGTAGGCTATTTATACTATAGAATTAATTTGGACTGAAAATATTAAGATGTCTTTAGATTAGGAATTTTTAAAAAATATGTATATTTTTCAGAGGGATAGTAACATCAATGAGAATCATTGATTGGCTACCTCCTGCACGCCCCCTATTGGAGATGGCGCCCACAACCCTGGTATGTGCGCTTGATGGGAATCAAACCCTGAACACTTCAGTCTGCAGGCCGCTCTATCCAGAGTCAAACCGGCTAGGCTAGGGCAAGATATTTTTAATAACACTGCCTGAAAGGCTCATTCAGAGACCACCCAGGACAGAAATATAAATTTATCCCTGTTCTCTGAAAATTAAAATATTTTCAGAAACTACAGATATAAAATTTACAGGTCTTCACTAGATGAGAAAAACAGACTTTGTGTATGAATTTTCCAGTCACTAAATGAGAAAAAAAAATGATGTAAATGGAGCTCTAGCTCTTGGTCCATATTATGGGGGTAGAGGGTGCATGCTGGAGTCCCTACAGAATGTGGAACAAAAACCACCACACTAGCCCTGGACAGCTACACACAAGAGAACTAAATTTACACCTGGTTTAATCCACTGTTAATCTGGCTCTCAACTACAGCCAGATGGGTAACTAGATTTATTGGTATGATTAGTTCATAAGTTCTATCTCTAATCACAGAATTATACACCTAAAACATATAATATTGTATGCCAACTCTAATTTAAAAATTAAAACAAGATTTAAAAAAAAGATATGTTGTACCCTGGTTGGTGTGGCTCAGTTGGTTAGAGCATTGTCCTGTGCACTGAAGGCTCGTGGGTCTGATCCCCGGGCAGGGCACATGGGAGGCTTAGGCTTTTGATCGATGTTTCCCACCCCACCCCACCCCACCCCCCACCCCCCCGCACCCCCCCGGTTTCCCTCTCTAGAATCAGTGAAAAACATCTCTTTGGGTGAGGATTAAAAATATATACATATTGCATTAGAGAGTCTAATGATATGATCAAACTGATTCTCCATATATTACAGAAGCTAGTCCTCTGCTTGAGGAATGCCAATCCATTAGACGGAAGAGGGCATTTACTTTAAATATTTGGTATATCACATATGAATTTAGATAAGGGCTATACCATTTGTAGAAAGTTTGTATCTAATACTGACTGAAAGGTTTGGTCCAAAGAATCTGTTCTTATACACAAGAATAAGTATGGTAGAAGGGTTCCTTGTTACCATGAAATCTGTACGCAGTTTCTCGCAGTGGTTCTCAACCTTCCTAATGCCACGACCCTTTAATACAGTTCCTCATGCTGTGGTGACCCCAAATCATAAAATTATTTTTGTTGCTACTCATAACTGTAATTTTGCTACTGTTATGAATCATAATGTAAATATCTGATATGCAGGATGTATTTTCATTGTTCGCAACCCACAGGTTGAGAACCACATCTTTAATATGAAATACCTCAGAGTATTTCAACAAATTATTAATAAATTGGCAACATCTACATGTTCTAATGTTCTGAATACCTTCAAAGTCTTTACAGTTAGACATCACTTATTTTAACAAATGCAAATTGCATTTCTGAATTTTTCTGTATTACATTTTATTTTTTAGATGCTTTTTAAAAACAACTAACTTTAAAAAGTTGTTTCTCTATCAGAAGTTAAAAAACAACCACCACTGGACAAGTACTGTATTTTTAATATATGCTTTTATAGCATTTCAAAAGCAAATTTTAATTCAAACTAGTACCTTTAAAAGAAATAATAAACTCAGTTTTATTTCAAGAGTTTACATAGGTAGAGAATGCAAGCCACATTTTATATTTTATAAATGCACACTGTTATACAATAAATACAAAATAAAAAGACAGTAAGAATTATTATAAAGGGTGATCTGCACTGATGTACTCTGAGGATTCTCTATAATTACATTTACAGAATCTCTGTAGTCAAGTTTATCATTCACTTTCATGCCCCCACATGGGAAGTGGTAGGTGAATATCTGTAGGAATACAACTTATTGTCTGCTCCTCCACTCAGAAGTAACTGCATAAAAGGAGAGAAAAAAACACACACAAATAGAAGACAGTTATTTCATATGCTAATAAACCTAAGTAAATACTGGTGGTTCAGATTACAGAGAAATTATGGATGAGCAGTTAACTTGCATTGTGAGTTTATACTTAAATGGACTGGTTACATCAGTTTTCACTATATTATAATACAGTATATTAAAGCTTTAAAAGTGATCATTGGAATTTGGTTAAGGTGTAATTTTTTATGAAGGATTTGCTAAGAAATGTAATAAAAAGTTTGAAGGGTAATATAGTTTTACCCATTTAGGAAAATTAAGTTTTTAAAGGACAGCACATTGTTTGCCAGTAAATGGACATTACAAATTATACACGTAGCCCTAAGACCTATATTTGAAAAGAATTCTTAGGCAATAGAGCTAATGTATATACATAAAAATAATTAAACTATAATTATTTAAACACATTTTATAATCTAGATTCATTATATAAGATTTTTTTAAATGGGAAATATTTTGATCCAATTAGTCTAAAGTAGCAAGTTTATGGATTTGAAACATGTCATTAAAATACTCATAAGAACAAAAGTGCTTCATATTTTCTATTCCTAATATTAATGGACAAATTTGTTCCTTCTTTGAATGGAGTCTGAGATTTTATGAATAATACTAATGGAAACTTAGAATAGAGAATTATAAATATCAGATATATGAAATACAACAAACACCAGATTTATTCTAATGATATATTTTCCTCTTCACCAAATAACTAATAACATCTTACCCCTGTGTCTGTCCAGTCCACACTCAGAACTTTGTCTTCATGAGCAGCCAAGTCATAGAGAGGAGCCTTACAACTAAAAGATGAAAATGTTGACGTTATGTGCATGTCATAATACTAAAACAAACATACATGAATGATCAGCTAAACTTTTCATTCACCATCCCTGCCTTTGTAACCACTTAGTATTAAAATTCTGGGTATTTACTTGACCACCTCTCCTGTTTTCTTACATCATTAGCAAGTGACCAAGACTTACTACAAACAAGTATATTCAGGAAAAATGCTATTTATTTATAAAAATTTATAATTAGGCCCATCTTCACACTTCCTTGATTACTTTCCTTTTACTTCCAAATCATGGCTTTATATACTGTTGATCTATTTATCTGTATCAGTGATGGCGAACCTTTTGAGCTCGGCGTGCCAGCATTTTGAAAAACCCTAACTTAACTCTGGTGCCGTGTCACACACAGAAATTTTTTGATCTTTGAAACCACAGTAAAACAAAGATTTTTATTTTTGATGTTTATTTTATATATATAAATGCCATTTAACAAAGAAAAATCAACCAAAAAAATGAGTTCACATGTCACCACTGACACGCGTGTCATAGGTTCGCCATTACTGACCTATATGCTGGTAACTCCCAAATTTATATTTTAGCCAAATTTCTCCCGAGTTTGATATGTATATCCAATTGGGCGACAGCTCAATGTCTGGGCACTACACATTTAAAACAACCAAAAACTATTGATTTCTCCCTATAAACCTCTTTTTTTCTACTCTTGCCCATTATAGCAAATGGCACCAATAATTACCCAGTTGCTCAGTAGAAAATACAGGCATTATCCTAGACCCGTGGTCGGCAAACTCATTAGTCAACAGAGCCAAATATCAACAGTACAACGATTGAAATTTCTTTTGGGAGCCAAATTTTTTAAACTTAAACTATATAGGTAGGTACACTGTTATTAACTTAATTAGGGTACTCCTAAGGCTTAGGAAGAGCCACACTCAAGGGGCCAAAGAGCTGCATGTGGCTCGCGAGCCGCAGTTTTCCGACCACTGTCCTAGACTCCTATTTCTACTTTCAGTTTCTGAGCCAATCCTGACAAAGTGCTATCTTGTCCTAGCCAGTTTGGCTCAGTGGATAGTGTTGGCCTGCAGACTAAAGAGTCCCGGGTTCGATTCCAGCCAAGGGCACATGCCTGGGTTGCAGGCTCGATCCCCAGTGTGGGGT